AAGTGCTGTCACTGCTTTTGAAACAGGTAGCTCGGGTTGCGCATCGCCTATCCAACGACAGACGAGTCGAAGTGAGTGGTCATGGTACCACGCACATGTCCAGTCGATTCCCGTATCGCGCCCTCCAAGAGTGCACTGCAAAACGCCACATGTGACATTGGAGGGCCTCGCAAATTTTGCATTGGGCCGTGACGCACACCAAGCAACCGTCCTACCTTGAACTCGAGATTGTTGTTGCTGTTGTCCTTGACGAACATGGTCTTCTGCTCACCCGCCATGCCCTCAAAGCGTACATACGGGGCAATGATAAACTGGTCGCGGGAACAAATTATGAGAAAAGTTGGGCGCAAGTCATCCTCAAAGTTTAGACGCGTGTGTCGCCACTGACCTTGACGCCCTTGGCAGTGAGTCGGGCAGCCAAGCGATCAAACCCCTCCCAGTCCAGAACACAGCCAAAGTGAGGAACGGGTACATCATGACCGTCCACGGCGTTGGTGTGGTCCTCGTTCAAGCGCGGAGAGACATGGGCGACCACTTGATGTCCAAACATGTTGTAGTCCACCCAGTCAGGTGCCGAGCGACCCTCCTGGAACGATGAACACAGAAGTGTTGTTATCAAAGCAGGCGTGGATTCTCACATATGAGACGGCACTGGGTATGTGGCATGACTCGACCAAAAGGCCCAATGAAAGCCTTACCGTCAGGCCAAGGATGTCACCGTAAAATTTTCGAGCTGCCTCGACACTGCGCACTTGATCCACATCCAACCCGTGAGCCAGCGACCAAGAGAGCAACCAAAAGAGCATGGCCGGATTTCACTCGAGCAAGAATGTGACGTCAGTACCTACCAGGAAAAGCGTGGTGGAAGGGGGGGATTTGCCCGGAACCGACGGCCGGCGACGCAAAAGCGCTCCAGCTCTGATCCTCTTCTGCTCAGATGAACCACCACGAGAAACACCGAGCGTCAGGGGCATGCAAGCTCAAGCCACACTAATCCTGTCGCGCATACACTCGCGCAGAGACATCTGAGCAGGTAGAGATCATGCTCGGCTGCTTGCCCCGCTCATCCCAATTCATTGAAGGAACCTCCGGATCAGCACACACCGCCAGCCAGCCCGCCAGCGCCAAAACCAGTAACGTACCAGCCGTTGCCATTTTTTTTTCGTGGAGACTCCGTATTTATCTCTCTCAAAAATGAAGAAGTTGAAGTTTCCATGCCATGCTCTATTTTAGTAATTGTAGCAAAAGTATCAGAAGATGAGGCATATCAGAGTCTTGGCGAAGCACTCAAAAGCGCTGACATTCATAGAATGACTGTTAACAACTGTAGTTTTCAACACAAGCGTTTTCCACGAACACACGAACACACACACACACACACACACACGCGAGCACGATGAATGCGGCAGCGGCAGAGGGGTCGGGGCTCAGCCTCAAGGACGGCGATGGCGTCGCGCTGGGAAAGAACTTTGCACGAATCCACTTTATGTGCGTATGCTCGGCATCTTGTTTTATTTGATCGCTGGTGGCAGGATGATGGGGGGGATCAGGAAAATAGAAAAGATGAGCTTGAGAGCCTCAGGGCGAATACCTCTCACCTGCCGTGCCGTCGCTTGCTGCTTCTAGTCGCGCTGTCATGGCCATTGCCTCGGGCGTAGCAGCTGGCACCCTAGGCCTTGAGTTTCTCTATGGCTTTGCATTTTACTTCCTGTGCTCGTTGGCTCTTTCCGGCGCTCTGTTCCTGGTGGTGGGCAGCTCGCGTGCAGACTACTTCCCGGCACTCTCCAACGTCGTCTGGGATGGCGTCACCAAGAACCTCTTCACCTTTGTCCTCTTTTGGACCATCGCCTACGGCACTGTCCATGTTTATTGAAAAAAGAATGATCCACATGACCGTTAACAACCGTTAACGCCAAAACTGACAGCTGCACCTGCACGGACCAGACCTTTGCTACCATGCATCATATACCCTCTGTGCCTTGAAATGAGCGTGGCTGTTGCTTTGGGGCGGAATCGAAGAGCGGCTCGAGCTTTGCTCGTTACTGGCTTTGATCTTTTTTTGACGGCGTGTAATGATTCCTGACTTGCCCAATTTCCTCTACTCCACGAGCTGGAAAGGATCGCCAGCCCATGAACGGTCGCCGGTGCATTACAAGCCTACAACTGGACAGCTGCTCAAACTGCGGCGCTGTATTACCCTGTCGCTATGCGCTCTTTGGAGACTGCTTCTGTTTTTGTTTTGCTTGTTGGCTCTCGACTTCCCCCCTACTCTCTCTCTGTCTCTCACTCTCCCCTCTTCCTGTATTAGCTGTGCTACCCTGACGCCTGCCCAGGGTGAAGGATGATTCTTGGTGTTGTGCCATGCGTTAAAGATGATGGTTATTGCATGATGCGCTTTGTTGTTTGTGTGACGGACGGTTCGCAACGCGCACACCCGTTGTTCGGTCATGCATGCTCTCCCGACTGTGAAATGAGAAGATAAAAAATCGAAATACTCAATTGCAACTGACAAGCTAACTCGTTCAGCGGGTAGGTGACCTTGTGCGAACACAAAACGTCAAGACAACAACAAAAGGGCTGAGCTCATGCCTCATCAGCACTTTGCTCTTCCTCATCCTCTTCCCCGTCTTCCTCTGCGCCCTCATCCTCATCCTGTTCGGGCATCTCATCCTCATCCTCATCCTCATCCTCATCCTCATCAGCCGAATCTACCGGAGGGTGTGGCGGCAACTCGTCTAGCTCCTCCCCATCAGAGCCTTCACCATCCACCAACGCTTCTCCTTGGTTGGCGCCATTCTCTCGTGCAGCCGCCGCCGCCGCCCGCTTGGCAGCCCGCTCCTCGCGCTTGCGCTGCTTGGTCGCACGTTGGCGTTTCTTCTTGGCACGGCGTGCTGTTTGCAGGTGCTCCTTGGCCGCAAGATGATTCTGGCTCGTCAAAGTGAGGCCTTGGTAGCTCAAGCCCCCTGTTTGCTCATCGCCACGGAAATGACCCACCACGCAGTTGAGCAGTTGCTTCTTGGTGAGTTCGGCCTGATTGTCTTCGTCCATGTCAAGCAAGAGCTTGAACGCTTCTCGATGCGTGCAGAGAATTGCAGCTTGGCCCGCATAGATACCCATGGCTGTCAGAATTGCATCAAAAAACGTGCCAGGCCCATCTGCAATCGGTGCCGTCTCCTCAGCCTCCTCATCCTCATCACCAGCCTTGGTTTCGACCGCAGTCGGCGGCGCCTCTGTCGCCAGCTCCGAATACATATCCACCATGCGGGGCAACGTTGCGCCCTCGGGCAACACCCGCTCGCATTCTTTCTGCAGTTCTGCAAGTGGCAGGAACGTACCGGCAGTGCGAACACCTAGCCGGCGCACCGCCTTGACGCACTCACTCAGTCCAGGTACAAAGAGGACGGGAATTCCCAGTTGGGCGGCGATGATGGTAGCCGTTTGCGCACAGCGCGTGAGCGGCGAGCTCATCACATGACGAAAGGGGTGCTTTTGAGCATGCAGCTTTGCAAAATGAGTAGCCGCATCTCGCGCCTGCGCTTCGCCATGCTTGGTGATGGGCGGGTCATAGGGCCGGGTCGTCGACGCGAAAAATTGGCGAAACGTCTCCCCCTCTGACTCATCCATGCGCTGAGCATGGCGTACAACGTATAGCTCAGAAATGTGAGACGGAATATTTGCTACGGGCCCATCTGTTCCTGCAGCTGAATCGTCTGCGGCGCGCTTGGCGCGCTTGCTGGCCTTCTACACTTGGCATCGAGCATGACCGAGCAGCGTTGATCAGCGCAGCAAGCGAGGAGGCAGTGGAGATGAGGCAAGCAGAGAAAAGCTCTCACTCACCTGTTTCTTGGGTGTCGCCCGTTTGGACGTGGTCTGCTTGGGCGTGGTCTTGCCCTTGCCCTGAGGAGCCGCCATTGCGCTACTAATGACGCCGACGAGCCGACGACAACAAACTCTGATACCCCCACACGCGAAAAGGACAAGCACTCGTCTGAGGTGCGAAAAGCACGTGGCTGTCATGCACACACACACACACACACACACACACACACACACACACACACACACACACACACACACACACACACACACACACACACACACACACACACACACACACACACACACACAACACACACACACACAAGAACACAAAGTCAGAAAATTTTAGATGACAAGCGGGGAAACAAAGAGCTGACAACTGGCGTGCATGACATGGCGTCTTCCGAGCGATTCTGATTTCACTATGTCGGAACGCGATACACTCTGCAAAGATGAGACTGCTTATGTGGCACTGGAGCAGACAGGACGGATTGTACTCTGCCCGTCTGGTCGCTTCCTAAGTTGTCACGGCTGCTGGTGGCGCCGCATTGTTTGGTCAATTTCTTGGTTGAGCATCCGGCCAGACCTCAATTCGCGCGCATTGTGCATGGTGCTCCCACATGATGCCATCACACCTGATGAAGCTGCTGCCTGCTTATGATCTCAACTGTGTCTCACACCTTGTGCATCTTGAATGAATTCTTTGCATTTTAATTGTATCACAACTGAGACTTGAACAACTGAAAACCAACAAAAGACTCAGTTGATAGAAATTGGTGATCATCGCCTAAACATGCTCGTTCGAGTCCTCTCGCACAAATTGCACGCACCGCGTGCCCCTCCCGCCACCTGACTCATGTCCACACGATACCTCGGATCACGCTCCACACCACGAGTTGATGTTCCTGCTGCAAAGGCGGCATCTACGAACGAATCAACGAACCACCACGCTCGGCGCGGCGGCTTCGCAGCTTCTTCAAGGTTTCTAGAGCATCAAAGACGGCACGACCGACGTCACGCAAAGCGTGGACATGACCGTGAAACTGCATTTCCTGCTCAAGCAAATCTTCAAGCCGCTGATGCAGTTGGGGGAACGTGGGTCGCGAGCTCTTCTCCTTGTTCCAGCAAGTTCGAGCTAGTTGATAAATCTACGCCAACCCAGCATGAGAAGGCGCACAACCCATTCATCAAGCAGGGCGTCAACCCAGCAATCATGCACCATGTAAGCACTCCCAGAGGAAAAAGTGATGCCCTGTGCGCGATTTACATACCACGTCAAAGACCTTGCGCACGTGGTCACTTTGCACGGCGTCCTCATAAATGTCTGCTGCCACATATTCCGGCTTGGCAATGCGCTTGCCTTCAATCAAGGCGCGACGAATGTCCTTGGACACAATGCCTTGGCTTTCCCAGGGTGTTTCAGCATACGCCAAGATCTCCCACATGTACACGCCAAAGGCCCACACATCACTCTCAATACCAAAGCGCTTCAAAGTCAAGGTTTCGATCGCCATGTACTTGACAGGGAGGCGCCCTGCTTTGTCCAACCGCCAGTAGTCTTGATGCGGTGGTAGCTGGCGTGTCAGCCCTAATACCGCAAGCATGGTTCGGGTGAGGGGCATGCGCATGCTACCCAAGACCAAGTCGCAAAGACGGTTGCGATGCCAACACGATGACCACCTCGTAACCCCAACGTACCAAAGTCGCCAATTTTGACTTGGCTCTTGTGATGCAACATGATGTTTCTACATTCAAGCACACACACAGGATGAGCGAGCGAGCCAAACACGGACATCCAACATCCAACATCCAACATCCAACATCTGGCCATGACAGGCCAAACAGGCCAAAAGCCAAGCATCAAGCAGCAAAACATGCGTAGACTAACCGGGCCGCAATATCACGGTGGATGAGGCGCTTGGAGCTCAAAAATACCATGCCTTCGGCGACCTGCGCCATCAAGCTTAGCTGCTCGTGTGTCCGGAAGTACATTTTGGCTTTTTTTGCTTGGCGAAGAATAACGCCCAGATCTTTGTATTGCATGAACTCAACCACGATCAACCATGGCAGGCGCTCAAAACAAACTCCAATAAGCTGCCAAAATAATCGTATATCAAGCAATCAAGCAGGTGCAGAATGAAACACACACACACACACACACACACACACACACACACACACACACACACACACACACACACACACACACACACACACACACACACACACACACACACACACACACACACACACACACACACACACACACACACACACACACACACACACGGAGAGAAAACCGTGAGTTGTGACAGGCTCGATTTTGTTTCACCAGAATTCCCTTCTAGGTTCATCCTTCGGCACTATTGAGGCGAACTGACCTCGAGGCATTTTGGATGTTTGACGACGCTTAACATGTGAGCCTCTTGCATGAACTCTTCAATGTCAAGGCTCGAGGAGTCTGCCTTCATGAGCTTGACCGCAACCTACCGGCCCCCAAGACACTCTTGAGTCTCGAACCTGTACCATGTTGATCCCATCTCACGATAGAAGAAGGGTAGAGGAAGCATGAAGGAACCATTGATTTCAGCATCAACCTCAGAAACGCACCTTGCTGCTTTGCACAGATTGACGGGCGGCATCAAGACCCTGGGGCTGGTACTCGGCAAGATACACCTTGCCAAATTGACCATGCCCAATGATCATCTTCACGTGCAACGACTTGCGATCCATTTGCACCTGCAGTTGCATCGCACACAAAACGTCAGAGCACCGGAATGCCAAAACCTGTGCAGCACCAACACGTCGCAGAGCGCTGGTACCGCAGAGAAGGGTTCCACTACGGCCTCTTGAGTGTCCAGTGTCTCGCGTGTATTGGCAAATGGGTCCACCCTACATGACCGGAATAATGTGAGGATAAAAGAGTGGACCGATGACTATATCACAGGAGTGATGCCCATGTTCTTGAAACCATTGAGTTGAGACAAAGAAAGCGCACCGCAGCTCTTGGGCTTTTTCGAAAGCATGGGCAACAGCATCAGAAACGGCTGCGGCCTTGACTTTGCACAAGAACACATGACAGAGCATTGATGCGGCCTTGGGCTGGTTTGCGATGAAAGCGAAGATTTTGGGGTTGCTGGCATCCACGCCTAAGGTGTTGAGGAGCAGATCGAATGAATCGGGATGCATGACCACTCCATCCATACCAACATCAGACTAACCGGTGAAGGAAATGTACTTGACAGCCACGTTGACATGGGGCTCTTCCAGGCCATCTTCGAGAACGGTCAGTTTGCTCGGAGTAACGTGTATGGTCACCATGGGTGCGGTGCGCCCCTTCTGGCTGTCCTTCACCGCCCGCACGCACGCTGAAACCACTGCGTTACCACCAGGCTATGGCCACAGGAAACCCAAATGTGAGAAATTATCATCATTTTATAAAAAAACCTCCTCTGCTAACTTCGATCGAATGACGCTGCTACGCTTTCTTCACTCAGAACGGCCCCGGCTTGAGTCGCAACGTGTAGCGGGTACGGGACTTGCTGAGTAAGCAAAGCTTACGTTATCGGTTGGGACGGAGCCCAAATATTTGGCAGCAAATTCAACGACGCCGTCCGTGGCTGAACCACGACTTTTGATTGCGTTGACAATGTTCCGATACCGTGTCAAGATCTAGAGCCAAATCAGAACGGCCGTTAGACAGCCGTTAGACAGCCGTGAGACAGCCGTTAGACAGCCTTTAGACAGCCACTGACAGCCACCGTCAGCCATCGTCAGCCATGCTAGCTCAACAAACCTCAACCATGGGATCCTCAACACCAGATTCCTCCGCGTCTTCTTCAAGTGCATCAGGCGTTGCCGCTTCATTGAGACGACCTTCCGTGGTGGGGAAACCGACGGGGACAGCACGGTCCGCATCAAAGCGCGGGGCATTGGATTTGTGCGTCGAGCTCGGAGCTGACTGACCAAAGCCCGTTTCCTTCTGATTGCAAAAATCAACGGAATATGTGAGTGGAAGAGAATGCCTGTTACCACGAGTTGTGGTGGTGAAGGTGCACGCACACACGCACACACGCACACACACACCTCGGGAAATCGACCAGTTGTCTCAGAAACCGGTGGCAAGGCTGAGGCCGGACGACTGGGCGTGCGCAAACTCAGCTCATCATCAGATGCGTGTGCCCGAGCCTGTTGCATGGCCACCATGACCGATGTTTTTTCTGGTATTGCCGAAACCAGCGCGGTATCTTCTTCTTGTTGCTGCGCGGTGCCTGGTCGCTCCGGATCGGGTGGGACGTAGGTCAGGTTGGTAATCTGTACAGAGACGCAGTGCACGCCCGTGAGTGTTCATGAGCACGGTAGCGACAGCAAACTCACTGTCAAACATGCAGTGCAACCACTGGCGATATACCAACCGGGTTGGCGTCCGACAAGGGGACAGACACGGGTTTAAGCTCATCTTGGTCAGACCAAAAGCAGTCCAGCTTGCGAGCCACAAGCTTGAGCCAATCCTTGTGGCTCGCGTGCATGTCAAAGTCATCGGTGATCATAGTCCAGTGCGCTGCAGCAGCCCCTTGACCGTTGAGGGAAAAGCTTCCCAAGGCCTCTCCCTCCTCATCATGAAAGAGATGCACGGTTGACTCAATCCACGAGTTGTCCGTGTTGCGGTCGTCCTCAACATAACCGGCATAGATCTGTCACCCCAAAGAAAAACAAACGTGAGTGAAACATGAAACAGGGCGAGAGGCCTGGACCTGAACGTCACTTTTCTCTCACTGCCTACGCTCGTCATGGTCCGTACCTCAACCCCGTGATCAAAGACGGTATCGACGGCTTGCTCAACAGCTGCACGCTCCTCCGATGTTAGATCCATGGTAGCCAAGACCTCCTCGCCGAATTCACGACGAAGAGCCTGGGGCACCTTTTCGCCTGCGGCCACGAAGCCGCCCGGAAAAGCAAGTTTGCCATTGTCCTCACGCCGAATGGCCACAAATTCGGCCACGCGCCGCCCGTTGCGGTACACAGCATCCCCCTCAGGCGTAAACGCCCAGCTGGACGAGGCAAGGGCACGAGTGTGAGCGGCCCTGAAATAAACGCAGTGGAAAGATTGAGCGGCGTGCAGCAACGGAATACAGATTTTAGATACGAACCGAGTGACCACGGGGTCTGAGGCATGATTTGGACCCCAGCGGCCAAGCACGCCGCGACCACGGAGACCCTGGCGGCCGCGGGGGTTACGCGGGCAATTGTCAATGACCTTGTAGAGACCAGTGCTGGAGATGCGATCCACTGGAGGATCAGTTTGCGTGTCAAGACGGTTATAAGAAAGCTTGGTGTATTTGGTCAGAGGCGGGTCAGCCCAATCCGGTTGGGCCAAGACAACCGGAGCCGTGAAGAAGGGTGGTTGATAGCTGAGATCAGGGATACCCCAAGTGGGATTTGTCACTTTGCACCGATAAATGTCAAAGCCAGGGTAGAGCTCGCCCTTGGGATAGTCGGCCGGTGCGTTGGTGTTGATCCCACTCGAAGGCACAAGGCCCGGCACGGCTTCTGCATTCCCGGCAAGGTGTCGACAACGGTCAGCGGCGGGTGGTCAGAGCAGGCGAGCCAAGCCAGGAAAGGAACAGCCGGGGCCAAGTACTGACCAGAAGCTGAAACTCCCGTGGCTGCTGTCTCGGCATCTTCTTTGCCACTCGCGTCGTCCCCACTGTCTTCTTCATCATCGAGCCCAAAGAGTGGATTGCGAAAGACCTGCAAGATTGAACCCGTTGGCCAAAGTCAGGGGCCAGCGGGAAAAAAAAAAAAAAAAAAAATTGTCGTGCCAAACCAGGATATGAACGGCCCGTCATTGGGAGCAACATGACGAGCATAGCAATGGGTGGAGCCCCGACAGGGATGAACAAACCGTGCGCTCCTGGTCGGGCAAAGCAACCGAATCAAACTCAAACTCTTTGGGGTCGTTGGCATCGAGATCAGCGGTGGCAAACCCTGGCATGGGTGAAGCAGCCCCGTCCTCGACTTTTTCCAAACGGGCTTGGGGGCCGCTTTCCTCCCACTTTGGGGAAGACCAGACGGTCGGACTGTGAGCGTTGAGAGCGTAGAGGCACATGATGGTGAGTGAGTGGCCCAAGAGGAGGAAGAGGGGCGCGCGGGGGGGGGGGGGGGGGGGGGGGGGGGGGGG